ATCTACGCTTGGCGTTCCATCGAACCTTCACAATCAGAATGCGGCTTTGCTTCGTATACTTCACTTCCCTATCCTTTATCTCAACTGGTCCTTCGACGAACAAGAGATTCTTGTTTACTTCACTCTCTTTTAAAGGTATCACGAGAGTTTCATCAGATAAGCACTTTTTCAAAATTGAAACGTGGAACACGGGGTGTATGTTGTTGGGCTCTACAAGCAGCTGCAGCCTATAAGTCTTTGGACCAATTCGCGCAAGAATCTCGAACGGTCCAATGTATTACGGGTTCAGTTTTCCCGTTTCCTAAAGCGAATCATTCCTTTCTAGGAAAGACTTTCGATAGTACCCGACCTCCGACTTGGAATTCCAGAGGTTTTCGTCATTTGTCAGCATAACTCTTCTGTCTGTCTCGTGATGGTTGAAGTCGAGTTCTGATTTGGATTATCTTTTCTGTCGTTTCGCGAATGGTTTTCTGGTCCCATGAGAGTACTGATGAGTGATCTGCATTTACGACCATAAAGAGTCTCGAAAGGAGCATCCTTGATGCTCGTGCGATAACTGTCATTGCGTGAGAATTCAATCAAGGGCAACCCGTTATCCCATGACTTGCTGAATTCAAACACCCAAACTTGTAGCATGAATTCGAGTGGTTGATTGGTTCGTTCTCTTTGGCTATTGGTTTGAGGGTGGTAAGCAACGCTCATACTTAGCTATGTTCCCATAGCATTCTGAAATGACTGTCAAAGTCTTGAAGTAATCCCGTTATCTCGATCCGAGATGGTAGATACCGATATTTCATGGAGTCTCACGATCTCCTGGATATAGATCCAAGCTAATCCTTCCATCTTGTTTGATTTCTGTATTGGCAGGAAATGGGCAGGTTGGGTTAACCTATCGACGATCACCCAGTTAACGCCCAACTCAACTCGCATAACTATAAGCTTCGTCCTTCGACTTCGAGAGTTTTATCCATCCATGTAGTGTTTTCTTCGCGATATTCTCCGATTTTGATGCTTTCAAGGCTGGTCGTAGACGTTGACAGTGTTTTGTTCTTGCTTCGTGAGCAGATGAGTATGTTATCGATGAAAATAATTAAAAAGGATGACTAGGAATGGTTGGGATAACTCGGTTCGTAGGGTCCATGAATACCGTGGGAGCATTCATTAGACCGAAGGGTATCAAACGAATTTGAAATGGTCGCGACGAGTTCGAAAGACAGTTTTTGGAATGTCCTCTTCTCGGACTCGGAGTTGATGGTAACTGGATCTTAGATTTATTTTGGAGAAGCAACTAGCTCCTTGAAGTTGGTCAAATAGTTCGTCAATCCGAAGGAGTGGGTATCGGTTTTGATAGTGAGCTTATTCAATTTCCTACAATCGATGCACATTCTAAAGGATCTGTCTTCTTGATGAACAAGACTGGAGCTCTCCAGGGTGAAAAGCTTGGTCTGATGAATCCTTTGCTCAACAATTTTCTCAATTGAATGGATAACTTCTGAATTTTCGGCGGGAGTCAACCTATAGGGTGAATTGACAATTGATGTGGTTCCCAGTATGAGGTCGATTCGAAATTCGACCTGTCTCTCTAGGGTATTCCCGGAAGTTCTTCGGGAATTACATCCGAAAAATCGCATGCTATTGGAATACCTTGTATGCTTACTTCTTCCTTGGTCTAGTCCACAACGTGGGCGAGGAAAACGTAGTTCATCTGGTGCAGGCACTTCTGTGCCTTGATGCACGAGATAAGACGAGGATTAGTGCCAAGTTTATCACCATAGATTATTAGGGTTTCGTGATTGGGAAGGTGAAGGCAAACGGCCTTCTCGCGACACTCACCTGATTTAATGAAAATCGGGCAGCAATTCGTTTCCTAAAACGATCGTTTCTAATAAAACCGGGAGTTTTATTGAGAAACCGGGCTCTACGAGGGTCGGGCTTCAAAACCGAAAAGATAAATTTTCCGGGTCTTCTCGGGCTCTTCGTGGCGTATTCCGAGGGTTATAATCGATACCAGGGCTTTGGGGAATGTTAAGATGAAGAAAATATGGAAAAATGGGCTAAAAGTGACAAAACTCCAAAAGTAACCGAGAAGGCTCGCATACCCTTCTATTTATAGGGTCCGAAGTCGGATTAAGGAGGGTGGGGTCCGAAGGCGAGGGTGCGCAGGTGGCTGCACATGGGCTGCGCGTGCGAGGGCTCGGTGTTATCCTCTGATTGGACCGCGGCCTAGGGTCCGAGATAGGGGCTTCGTGGCTTCTTCTGCGAGACTCGGACACGAGGAATGGGACACGCGTCGGACAGGCATTGGACCACTTCGGATTTGCTCAGCAGCTCGGATGACTCATCACTTATTTCGGACACGTGGCATGCTCTAAGCGAAGGTGACGTGGCCGAAGCCACCTATGCGAAATTTCTCGGTTTTCGCGCCAAAACTTCTAAAATCCATAACTTTCGCATACGAGCTCCGTTTTTGACGTTCTTTATATGCACGCGTAGGTAAAATTACGCTCTACAACTTTCGTTTAGACTTCGTCGGCTAATTTTGATTTTAAATTTTATATTATTATTTTTAACAGACCGGGACATGAAATCCGTTAAAAATTCATAACTTCTTCATCCGACGTCCGTTTTCGTCAGACTTTTTACCGTTGTGCTACTAATGACGAGACCTTCGATTCTCTTTTAGGTCGTGTCGGCTAAAAATCACTCGATCTAAAATTCGAGTTTTTAGCTGTTTACTGCTAAGCTGAAACTTCGAAAAATGATAACTTCCTCATACGAAGTCAGATTTGGGCGTTCTTTTATACCTACTCTCGGTTTAACGAACACTACAAGTTTCGTTTAGATCACTAAGGCTAAAAAGTAGTTTATCAAAAACTCACTTTTTACGACATTCGGCACCGTGCCGGTTTGTCGCGAAACTTCGACAGGTCATAACTTCTTCGTTATAACTCGGATTTCGACATTCTTTATATATCCGGAAACCTTGAGACATATACTACAACTTGGTTAAGATTAATCCTTCTAAATAATCTTCCATCAAAAAGTCATTTTTGATGCTTATCGTCTCTAAATTGACTAGCCCGGATCTACGGGCGTTACACAAACTTTCAAGATCTAAACATTATGCACTAAAGTGATCAAAAGTTCACAACACCCAAAACTAGCTAGATCTAACAAATGCATCATCAAGATTCAAGCTTTATATCTCTAGAAGAAAGTTCAAGGTGAACAAGGACTGAATTTAGAAGCTCGAAAGCAACTAACACTTCTCCAATGAGCTCCTTCTTCTCCAAGATACACCAAGAACACTCCAGAGCACTAAAAAAAACTCCTTCTTTAGCTCACAAGGCTCAAACTAGGGTTAGGATTTAAAGGGAGGGTGTTTGAGAGGTGGAGGCTGAGAATGAAATGAGTTTGGGAAAGTTAAGGAGCTTAAAAAAGGCTCAAGCCATGAAAATATGGTTTGGGTTCTGATTGCGTACGCCCCAACGTACCAGGGATGCCTAGTACACCCAACGTACATCCTGTACATCCAACGTACTAGACTAAGCCCAAAACCTTTCTAACTTCTAACAATCATAATTTCTCAGTTCCAACTCCGTTTTCAACGATCTTTATATCCACAGAACGGTATTGAAGAGCCCTACAATATTATATAAATATCTTAGACTAAAAACTTCTCGAACAAAAATCCATATTACATGCAAGAACCCGATCTATGACTTTTTCCTTTCTACCATTCGACCCAAAACACAATTCAAGGGGTTAAATCTCTTAACCATCATTATCTCCTTCCACAAGGATTAAACTTTGCCTCCTTAAGGCCCAAAACTTTTTTACACAATCGACTTTCGGCTCATGACCCTGAAATAAGAAATGGCCGGAAAGAGGGTGTTACAAACACAATTCCAAAGAAAGAAAACACAATTTTACGTATTCATTTAAAAAAACAGTGCAAGCGTAGAATCTTCTCATTCTCCTCTTCGATGAAAATCCCTCGACTCCGTCACTTTACTACTGTCGACATCCCTCCTGTCATGGCTCACACCTTTCCTTACTCCACTCCCCATCCTGCTACTTTGCGAAATTATCCCTACCCCACATCCCTTTCTCACCCTTTTATTCGTGAGTTGTGCGTCACCAATAACAACTTCCGTTCAAGGATGCAATTATTGTTTGTATATGAGTTTGAATTAATTTTTAGGTTGAATGTTGATTTAAATCATTCAAAGTTTTGAATCAATATTGTTACAAGTTAAAATTAATTTTAGATTATTTTTTTGGTAGTGGTGAATTATGGAGATTAATGGTTGTGGTGGCTAATGGTGATGATGGAAGATGATGTTTGTTGTTGGAGGTGAACGGTGGTCGTGAGAGGTTGATGATGGTTGTAAGAATGTATGGTGTTGGATGATAATGATAACAGATACATAGTTTAATGGTAAATATTTATAAAAATAAATTGAAAATTAAATCATGTAAAAAATATATTTAAAATTAAATCTTATAAAAAACATTAATATGTAATCCATGATAAAAACGATAGATTTTGTACACCTCATATAAGTTTAATAGTAAGTTGTGTAAAATTTTGACGTACAAAAATACTAATTCAATACACTATATAATTATTTTTTAATTTTATAAAGTATTAACAAAATTCAAGATCAAAAGACATGTTCCACTTTTTACAACGTGACAACATAATGATCGAATCAAAAGGATGATGAGCTTTACTACGTTACAAGCTGTTTCGCAAAATTTGAAATTACAAAAACTTTTGTTACTTCGAAAACTATGTGTTATTTAAATATTTTGAAGAATATTAGCAAATTAGTTATTCTTTTTGAAATATTTTCATAATAAGACCAGCTCAAAAAATAATTTTGCAATTTCTTTTTGAAAAACTATTTAACACATGATTATTTTATAAGTTTTAAAAGTCTCATATTTTATCTTATACACTCTCCATTTTTGGTATTTTCGCAATTAGCCCATTACTTCGGTTTTATTGAAAATTCACTTGAAACAAAAAGAGAAATAAGCCAAACCCTGAGCAAGACGCCGATCTCTGCAAACACATCTGGCTTTTCCTGTTACACAGAATCAGGAGGAAGATCTCAGCTCTCAATATCATCACCCTGTGAGTGCGCAAGGTACCCGTCGCCGTCGGATACCTCTCGCCTTATCGGAGGATGCTGAAAACGGTAAACTCTTTCTTTGTCTTCCCCGATCTACGCTGTTGAATTATGCCTTTTATGAATCACGTCACAGTTTTAAGTCGATTGATGAAATCTGATTTGGTCATACAAATCGTTGAACATTGATAGCGTGGGATCTGTAATGATAGATGCTTGTTTTATAATTAAATCAATTGAAGTCGCTGATTAAGTTGAATATGGTGAGGATTTCGGTGTTTTATGCTGATTGAACTTATTTACAACAGGACCGAGGTTCTTAATATAATGTAATCGAGAACGATTTATCCTAATTAGCTCAGTTTGACTAATTGTACCAATTAGACACACGAAGTGATATGATCATAAGAAGCTTTTATTTGGCAGCATACGTGCATTGTGCTGAATTAGCAAGTCTACATTTGGTTTATACTTAATAGGTAGTTGCTCTGAATATAGGGGAAAGGAATGGTGATAGGTTAGAGTTTGGAGGATTTTTCTGGCTTCATTTCGTGAACAATTTACAGATAAAAGGATTCTGTTTGATGTTGCATTTGGGACAATTCTCCCACAAGGATAGGTATACCACATTACAGTTATACAGAATGCCTGATTCTGTTAGTTGATGGAATGTTGCACATTAGTAATGTAGCTTACTCTGAAGAAAGCTTGTGCTTTCACTAGTTATTATATTGTAAAAAATGACGAGTGAAATCTCATAGTATATTTCAATAAGACTGTTAAGTTTTCACACTCAGACCTTCTAATGCATCAGTTACAAAATGAGACTTTTGGTGGTTGTAAGGGTTGACCAAGATTGATATGGAGAAATTACTGTAATTCTTGTTATTAAATCATTTACATGGAAAAGTAGGGCCACATGAATTTGTTTTAATGAACTCTTTTGCATAGAAATATATATGCTTCCAATCTTACAATGTATCTGACTTCATCATGTTCCTATTCAATATTTAAACTTTCAGAACTCTTCTTCCTTCCCATAAAGAGTTCAATGTAAACTTCATCAATAACAGTATCTCAATGCTTGAAAAGATGGGGTGCCCAAGTCAAGAGTCGGAAGCCATTACCCTTGCTCAAGAAACCAAAGACACATCCTGCACTCCTCTCAGAAGTCCCTCAGCATTTATTATAAATACCGAAATTGGTGCAGTTTTATCTGTCATGAGAAGAAACGTAAGGTGGGGAATTCAATATATTGAAGATGAAGATCAAATAGAGCGTTCCCTTATCAAATCCTTCAAAGAAATAAGAAGAGAAGTCTTCTCATGGCAAACCCAATGGCACACCATCAATCCCATCCTCTATTTACAACCCTTTTTAGACGTAATCCAATCCGATGAAACCAGTGCACCAATCACTGGTGTTGCTTTATCTTCAATATACAAATTCATAACCCTTGAAGTCCTTCATCTAAACACTGTCAATGTAGCCGATGCATCGCATAAAATCATTGATGCAGTCACAAGTTGTCGCTTTGAAGTAACAGATCCTGCATCTGAAGAAGTCGTATTGGTCAAGATACTTCAAGTTCTCCTAGCTTGCATGAAGAACAAAGCATCTGTTAAATTAAGTAACCAACATGTATGTGACATGGTCAACACGTGTTTCCAGATAGTTCATCAAGCAAGCTCTAAAGGTGAACTGTTACAAAGGATAGCAAGACAGACCTTGCATGAGTTAGTCAGATGTATTTTCTCACATCTTCCCAATGTTGCTACACCACATGTGAATGAAAAGGTAATGACATATGATTAATAGCAAACTGTGGGGAATAGCAACGTACTTTGCTCTTGGTAGAACAATATTGGCAATGTACTTTATGTTTTATCCTATATTGGTAAAAAAAGTAAAGTACATTGCTATTTCCTACAATTTTCCCTATGATTAAAGGTCATTAATTTTCTCTTTATAAGATTATTACTAACTTTAATTACACTTTTGCTTACAGGAAAACGGTTACATTAGTTCAAAAACTGAAGGTGCTACAAATCTTGATATGCTTGCAGTTAAAGTGGATGAAAGTATTGGTCACACAAAGGAGTTCCTTACAACAGAACCATACGGGGTTCCATGCATGGTGGAAATATTTCAATTTCTTTGTTCTCTTTTAACCGCAGTTGAGAATTCAAGAGTGGGTCCCGGTCTCAGGTCAAACTCCTTATCATACGATGAAGATGTTCCTTTATTTTCCTTGGGATTAATTAACTCGGTGGTTGAGTTAGGCGGGGCGTCTCTTGGTCAACACCCTGAGTTGTTGACTTTGGTGGAGAATGATCTTTTCCATAGCTTAATCCAATTTGGCTTGTCCCCAAGTCCACTGATTCTTTCTACTGTGTGTAGCATTGTTTTGAATCTATACCATCTTCTTAGAACAAAGCTGAAGCTACAACTGGAAGCTTTCTTTTCTTCTGTGCTCATGAGAATTGCACAAAACAAACACGGAGCTAAATATCAACAACAGGAAGTTGCCATGGAAACTATTGTTGATCTCTGTAGGCAACCGATGTTTATTTATGAAATGTACACCAATTACGATTGCGACATTTCCTGTAGCAATATCTTTGAAGATCTAGTCAACTTGTTGTCAAAAAGCGCGTTTCCGGTCAACACCCCGTTGACCGCTATTCACGTTCTCGCTCTCGAAGGATTAATCGCCATGACAAATTGTATTTCCGAAAAAATCACCGGGAACTGTGAAGTACAAGTATCAGAACACACGATTCCAGATCCTGAAAATGAGCCATTTTGGAAGGTGAAATGTGAAAATTACGAGAACCCTGGTTGTTGGGTACCATATATTCATAAAACGAAGCACTTGAAGAAAAAGTTATCAGTTGGGTCGGATCATTTCAATACGGATCCTAAAAAGGGTCTTGAGTTTCTTCAAGGATTGCGTATGTTACCCGATACACTTGATCCGGTAAGTGTCGCGTGTTTTTTAAGGTACACAACCGGATTGGATAAGATTCTTATTGGCGACTATTTGGGAAACCATGATCGGTTCAATGTCGATGTCCTTCTAGAATTTGCTAAAACGTTTGATTTTCATGACATGAACTTAGACATCGCGTTACGTGTGTTTCTAGAGACTTTTAGATTGCCCGGTGAAGCCCAAAAGATTCAGAGATTTGTCGAGGCCTTCGCCGATCAATTCTACGAACAATCACCGGATATATTCGCGAACAAAGACGCCGCACTTTTGTTGTCTTACTCCCTAATATTACTTAACACAGACAGACACAGTCCACAAGTGAAGAAAAAGATGACCGAAGAAGATTTTATCCGTAACAACCGGAGAATAAACGGGGGAAATGATCTCCCGCGTGAGTATCTTTCCGAGCTGTACAGCTCGATTTGTGAAAACGAGATCCGTATGACCCCGGCACAGGGTGCCGGGGTCATGACCCATGATAACTGGGTCGGGCTCCTTCACAAATCGAGACAAACTGTTCCGTATATCGTTTGCGATTCGGGCGAACAAATTAACAACGAAATGTTTGCTATTTTGTCCGGCCCGACTCTTGCTGCTTTATCAGTGGTTCTTGATCTTGTGGAACAAGACGACGTGTTGCAAACATGTATAGACGGATTCTTAAAAGTTGCTAAGATTGCCGGGTGTTATCAGCTCGATGATGTCATCGACGGGTTACTCGTGGCTCTATCCAAGTTCACAAACCTTTTAACTCCTGTGTCTATGGAAGAACCGGTTTTCGCATTCGGTAACGATACTAAAGCTATGAAAGCAACTATCGGTGTTTTCACAATTGCAAACACCTACAGTGATTACATAAGGTCCGGTTGGAGAAACACGGTTGACTGCATTTTGACTTTACACAAACTCGGTCTTCTTCCGACCCGTTTAGCAACTGACACAGCTAACGATTCAGACCAAATCGAAGATCCCGGAAAATCCGTTCTTCTGTCACCGCCACCGCCAGCTGTCCTTGCGTCTCATTCGCGAAAGTCATCGGGCCTCATGGGCCGCTTCAGTGACTTTTTATACTACGATACGGAAAAACCTGCCCCGCAACCCTCTCAAGAACATCTCGAAGCCCACAAACGTGCTGTCGAAACTGTAAAAAGTTGTCACGTGAATAACATTTTCACAGAGAGTAAGTTTCTTCAATCTGATTCTCTTTTGAATCTCACCCGGGCTCTCATTTTATCCGTGGGCCAAAACAAAAACGAAGAAGCTTCGGTTTTCTGTCTGGAATTACTAATCACCGTGACATTAAACAACCGCGACAGAATCATGCTGTTATGGGAAAATGTTTTCGGTTACATTTCAAATATTGTCCAGTCAGCAGTAATGCCGAGTACTTTAGTTGAAAAAGCGGTTTTTGGTTTAATCCGGATTTGTCAGCGACTACTTCCTTACAAGGAGAATCTAACAGACGACCTTTTAAAATCCCTTCAACTTATCCTAAAACTCGATGCGCGTGTAGCCGACGCATACTGTGAACACATCACGCAAGAAATCATGCGTTTAGTAAAAGCAAACGCGCGACAGATAAAATCCCACCTCGGTTGGCGTACAATCACTTCTCTCGTTTCCATCACCGCATGTCATCCGGAAGCTTCCGACCCCGGATTCCAAACCCTAGAATTCGTCATGTTTGAAGGAACACATCTCCTCCCCGCAAATTTCGTCCTATGTGTCAATGCAGCTCGGCAGTTTGCCGAGTCACGCGTAGGCGAAACGTCTCGATCAGTTAAGTCGTTGGACTTAATGTCGGGATCAGCTATGTGTCTAGTGAAATGGTCTCGTGCCACTAGTGAAGGTGAAGAAGGTGAAGCTGCTGATAAAGTTTATCAAGATATTGGAGAAATGTGGTTGAGATTACTACAAAGTTTAAAAAAAGTGTGTCTAGACCCGCGAGAAGAAATTAGGAATCACGCGGTTTTCACATTGCAAAAGTGTTTAACGGGTTTGGACGGGATTCATCTTGAAGACGAAATGTGGGCCCAGTGTTTCGATTTGGTGGTTTTCACTTTAGCGAGTGAGTTGTTAGAAATAATGCAAGAAAAGTCAACGAAAGAGTATCGGAACATGGAAGGTACGGTTGTTTTATGTGTGAAGCTTTTGTTGAATGTGTTTTTGTATTCGTTACCGAGTCTTTGTCGGTTGGCGTCGTTTTGTAAAGTGTGGATAGGGGTTTTGAGTTGTTTGGAGAGGTTTATGAAGGTGAAAATTAGGGGGAAAACGAGTGATAAGATTCATGAGATGGTGATGGAGCTTTTGAAGGAGGGTTTGGTTGTGATGAAAGGTAATGGGATTCTTGTTGAGAGTGATTCGGTTGGGTCGGATAGTTTTTGGCAGTTGACTTGGTTACATGTCAAAAATATCGCGCCTAATTTGCAGGCGGAGATTTTCCCTGTGTCTTGAAACGATTTACTTGTGTTTTGTGTTATGAATCTTTGGAATTTTGTTGTATACTTACTTAGGCTGTATAATGTTTGGAGATGTTTAGAGGGTTTTGTTTTGTTGGATATTTGGCGTATGTTAAGGTAGAGAGAAATGGTGAGAGCATACATTGTTTTACTTGACATTTATGAAGTACATTAGCGAGAAATTTGTACAAATAGTGATTACATATCGTTGTTTGGAAATTCTTCCCCTGTAATGGCCTATTGGGGCCACGTTGAAGAAATGTTAAGTGCTATTGTTTTAAACGTTTTAATGTTAAATGATATTATTCTAAATCAAAAACGTTGAAGAAATGTTTAAGTGCTATATTGTTCTGAACTTAAAAAAAAGTGTGGATTGTATGAAAAAAAATATTCGATTTCGTGTAGTGGTCATTGTGAAATTGGTGACGATTTTGATGAATAATAAAATTGTTGAAATATTAACCTTAAGATAATGTGGCTAGATTATTGTTTTTCTATTATAATGTAATGACTTATTCGATAATCCAAAGAGGGTCTTGATTCTTGAATAAAACACATTCTAATTCTCAAATATTTTTTTGACGTACTTGTTTATACATACCAATGGAGAATGGCTACACCAAATTTGACAGCCGATCTCTATGCATTCTCTATTTTGTCTCTCAAAACACACATAAATATACATTTTAGGCATCCTACTTATCATTATTTTCTCCTTTATTTTTGCTTTTTATAAAGGCAACACAATACTCTTTAACACAGTAAGTAATTCTATACTCCATATAAGTTCAGTAAGTGGTTTTTAGTCGTTACGGTAAATATTTCATTTAATTAGAATTTTCTATTCACAAATTCTATCACTAGTTGAGATTAACTAACTATGTATAAGCATTAGCATGAAGGGGATGTAGCTCAAATGGTAGAGCGCTCGCTTTGCATGCGAGAGGCACGGGGTTCGATCCCCCGCATCTCCATTTTGCTTATTAGTTATTTTTGAATTCAATACCCTCTAACATTTCAATTTTTTTCATCATAATTCATAAATGGACAATTAATTCCTTTCAATGTAAACGAGTCTAAGAAATTAAAAAAATAGAAAATTACAAGTTTTAGCTTTTAAAAAAAATAGCAAAAATCTAACAAATAAAAAAGTTGAAATTGCAAATTTAAACGAGTCTAAGAAATTAAAAGTAGAAAGTTAAAAATTTAAACTTTTCAAAAAAATAGCAAAAAGTCTAAGAAATAAAAAAAGTAGAAAATTACAAATTACAAATTTAACCAAATATGATCACGTATCAAAAAATTAATGTGTGATTACGGTCAACTATGAAATTGGTCTCTTCCCCTACCACTTTATCCCATTTCAATCCAATAATATGTATAAAAAGCAATTTTTTTTAATGAAATTACATATGGTTAATAGTCACCTACGATTTCCTCTATCAGAGAATATTAATTTTTGTGATTTTTTATATTTGGTGGAAGTAAGAACACGATGAATTTTTAATTTAGAGAAGATTAAATTTAGTGAATACTTATATATTTTTATATTCGGTGTGGCATTTTCGGAGAATATTAACCTTTCCCCTTGAAGTATTGGCACGTCCAAAAAATATATGAATATTGTCGTCCAAAATAAAGCATGTTGGGTACCTTCTGATCTACTTAACGGTTCCATAATTTACACCCTGATCCTTTCAGAACCACCTTAAAGTTTTGTTATGTCTGCTGAAACAAACAACTCACTAATAATAAATATGAACATTGTAAAATTATATCAAATAAGACAAAAAAAAAACAGACCTACATGTCACCAATATCAAATATCGTGCGCTACAACTATTAATAACATATCAAATATAATAAATGGACTTTCTGATCACCAATATTAAATATCATACATTATAAAGTACTAAAAATCTATAAAATAAAATAAAAAATAAAAAGAAATTGACAAGTAAAAACAAATCTTCAAGGCAGTAATGCAAGCCTTATACATCACTGACTTGTACATAATAATCTGGTACAACATAAAATCACAGATAAAGATGCATAAGTCGTGCATCAGCTATTTATACATTTAAATAAGGAAAACACACCTGCGAAGGTACAAGTCACCGATGCATGACTCGTTGCATCAGTAACGTTTACGTTTCCATCTACACATACACCATGTAGATGTACAAGTTACTTAAGCATGATTAATGAAAATGTATAAGTCATGATGCACAACTTATACACCACGCCCTTCGGATGTGATTTTGTATCCTCCATATGCGATTGCTTCTCTTTCAAACCCTCTAGATGTGATTTTCTCTTTAGAAATCATAGTTCCATTTTTTGACCAAAAAATCATACAAAAACCAATACTAGATGTATAAAACCTAATAAAACACGCTTAAAACATGACATAACTAGAAAATTTAAAAAGTTTTCGGGAGAATATTAATCTTCGGCCATTAGAGATAGTTGATATACTTTTAGCTGATTTTATAGCTAGCCCAAAAAGACGAAATCACATTTGGAGAGACCGATATCATATCTGACGGTAATCGCATGTAAAGTGGATGGTTATTATTGAAAAAACGCTAATTTTTTGCTATCTTTTGAAAAATCATAAATATATTTTGCTAAATTTGTAATTTTCTCTATGTCAACTTAATTATCAATTTTTATCATACTTTTGTACCACATTTCCGTTAAATAATAACTAAACAAGATTTGTGTTGTGACAATTGATCTGAAGGGTCCCTCCTTTCATTTTCTGGTTTGATCACAGAGCTAAAAGAAACAGTAAAAATACACAAATATAATAATCACAAAATAAAATACTAATCACAAAAAATAAAATTCACAAAAAATAAAATACATAACCAAAGTTTGTTGGATTAGTGTCTAAGTCCATAACTATTTTGGTATGTACTTGACCCGATTGTGAGCATGGTCCTTTTGGGTTGCCTTCACACGAGTGACTAGACAGGATGACAGTTGAGGAGAGAGGTTGATTAGGGCATAAATATGATTTATTTATTATATTATATGATTAATATAATAATTTGGAATCATATTATTAATTAGTATTTAATCAGAAATTAATTAGGAATTAATTTCAGGATTAAAGGAATTAATTAAAAGTACAGGGGCTGTTTTGTAATTATTTGATAGTTGAGACTTTGGGCTATTGGATCACTTTTATTAAGGCTTGAAAGAAAATCCTAGAAGGATCTAGGAGTTTTTGTCCAAGGGCTTAAGGAAAGGAGTCCATGGACTTGCTTAGGCCCTAAGCTAAGGGATTAGGGTTTCCACCTTGAAACCCTAGCTAGCCTCCAGTATAAATAGCACCCTAAGGCACTAGAATTCGTCCAAGCCTTGGGAAACCCTAAAAGGGATGAATTTTAGAGCAAGATACCCTTCTCTCCTCTCTCCCATATTCATCCTTTCACCTAGTGTGTTTGTGAGCCATTAGAGGTACTACACTTGTGGTACTTGCTTTCAAGAGCTAAGGAAATTCAAGAAACTAGTTGTTATTGCTATATAACAACAAAAGGTATGTATTCTATTCTCCTATATAGATTTCGAAAATTAAAGGAGCATTCCAGGTTTCTTTTTGTGTTCATAAAGTTGTATGTCTAATAGTGAAAACATAGATCCAATTAGGGTTGCATGCACACATATGATCGTTTGTATAAAACCTATAAGTGGTATCAGAGCCTTAGGTTTTTGTTTTCAATTAGATTTGATACAAATGTATGAATATGACAATTAGGGTTTATGGCTAATAAACCCTGGAGGCTTGATTTTCGAGATTAGGGTTTCTAAACCCTAGATTTCGAAATTTTGGTAGGGTTTCCTAAACCCTTTCCTTTGGCCCCAAGATTTCGATTTTAGGGTTGTCTAACCCTAGAATTTCGAAATTTGCCTTGTCCCCTAGATAGGATTCCCAAATTTTAGGGATTTGGATAATGTTATATCTTGTAATTATCCTTGATTCCTTAAATAGATAATTAAAAGATCTTATGGATTATCTCATTCCATAAATTTTCAAATCTTAGGGGATTTGGGATTAGATTAAATTAATTGTTTAATTTAATAGATAACCCTACAAGATTTAATAATTTTAAATTAATTGTTTAATTTGGATAATTATTAAATAAAATTTTTTAAATTTAAGAGTTTAAAATTAAAAATGTTTTATTTTTTTCGAAAAAGTTAAATATGATCAAACCCTGTATTTTGAAAAGTTCAAATTACACCTTTATGGTTTTATAATTAATTAAAATGTATAATTAAAAGAGAGTTAATAATTCCATAAAGTTTGGTGTTTAAATTTAATTAATTAAAAGTATAATTTATTAATTAGACCACCTAGTATTTTAAAAGTATAAAATACAACCTAATATACTATATATATACATTAAAAGTCTAAAATTATATATGAGTAAACAGTCAGTCTTACCGTTAATAGGCCTCATTCACGAAGCTGGTCTATAAGGGGTGTTTAAGGAAATTGCCTATAAATGGCGATTGAATGGGTATCCACTCTTACCCACCGCACTCTTGACTAGTGGAGGGTCGTTAGCCGAACGGGTAGGATAGGACGAAACCTTCCATTATAAGTATAATGAAGTACAAAGTAACTACATGCTTTTACAAATTCCCAAATCTAGTTACTTTAGGAAAATGTGAATTTGTATGCTAATCCATGGAATTACACTTCGTACCCTTGTCAAACGTTAGTGGAGCGTGTGTGGTTAACCGGCACACTAATTTGGGATTGACATTGGTGGCGAAGGGTGGCTCGATGTTTATCATAGATCAATGGAGCGTGTGTGGCTAACCGGCACATTGATTAGGTGATAGTAGCAATTGAGTGCACCACGTGATTCGTATGGTTATTCAACACCTTGTTTGTGATCCTCGGCATCCCAGTCACAAATAGAAGGGCATAATCGAGATTAAACATGCCATTGAAAAGTTCAATGAATCTCAAAAGATCTAGGAGTTTCAATTCATTTAAAACTTAAATTTCTTTTTCGTTTTTCATGGTGGGAATTGGTAAATCGTCATTTACCTACCTTCAAATATTCTGCAACTAGATTACGGCATCCCTCTTCTAGGTTGTAGAATGTTGTGTTGGATCCTAGCCTTGATGTTTCATTTGGGTGTTACATCAAGATTC